TTTATCTTTTTTTTTCCCCCCCCCCCCCCCTACAATGTTTTCTGCGGGCGCCCATGTGTGTGTTCATATGTTGCCTATAAAACAGGTTAATAAGACACGAACAGGTGTATTGCTGATTACTCATTTTGGACATGATTAAATTTATGTTAGGGATTTCAAAACCCATGTAATAAAAACTGCACAAGATGTGTTCATATTTCTTGATGTTGATCACCTTTATTTATATACATTTATTAATGTTTAGTAGAGTATTTCCATTCTGTGGTTCATCGATACCAATATTTTTACTTGCAACTCTTTATTACTTGACATCATCACAAGTCATCTAGTCGAGTCATGCCACACTGAGTCATGCTGTGTTTGTTAATTTTAAAAATAAAATGTATGATTTTATTTCTTTTCTTAATTTCTAAAACTAAAATAATTATATCATATAGTATAGAGAACATTGTTAATAATCAAGACTTAAAAGGATTTTACACCCCAGATATATTTATAGAGCTTGAAGGAAAGTTTAATTAAAATAAAGCTTAAATTACCATTTTGTATAGATATATGTGAAAGGTAATCAAAAATAATTTTTTATTTCTATCAAGTTTTTTTTTTTTCAACTTATTAGATCTAGGAAATATCTAGGAAAGAATTGTCCTTTAATTTAATGTACCCGGTACAGAAAAATCATAATCAAATCTAATCTTGAGATTATCTTTAATAGTTATTTAAGATTCTTTTACAAATGACATGTTAAATTGCTTTCTTTGATATTGTTTTTAATTGTCCACAATTTAACAAAACCAATGCTGAATTTATTTACAAATATGAATTTGTAGTTCATGAAGCCTTTTAGGTGAGAGTGACTTATGTGTCTTAAGAGGAGTGCTGTCGTTAAGAATTGATGAATTGATTTATTCTTTTATTCATATCCTTTCATAAATGTATTTGATATTATTATTTTGTTAATATTCCCTACTGTGCCTCATAAATATATTATTTATGTCCACAAATAAATGTTTTATTTATTTTTATCAGGAGTCTTCATTTTGTTATCTGAATAAAAAAATCAACTGTACAAATAACTGACAATAATGTGTTGCCATTTTAAGTCTGCAACTGGTTAGCATTATTTCCACTAAAATTAAGTCTAAATAAAACATAATTTGACTAAGTTTTCTTGTTATTTTTTTATAAATTAATCACCTCAGTAGTATACCCTCAAAATGATGAATACCATAATTTTTTTTCTTCCTAATCAATAGCTTACAACCAAAAATTAAGGCAAAAATGATTTTCACAATCTATTCTTCACATAAAGTGCTCATAGCCTACTTGTGAATATGCTGTTGGGATTAGTCTTGCACCAAAGGGAATATGCCAACAGGTTAGAGAGATAGCTGTGTTAAGCAATCTTTCAATTTCTATTCTATTTGAAAGTGCTGTTAGAGGCATGTGAGAGCTCCATTTGACAAAAAGCAGGATAATGATTAAAGATGAAAGCATCCATATAAAAATGACAATTTAGAAAATAATGAGAAATATACAAGTTGTAAAGCTTATGTGGGTTTTAACATGTTTTTAATTCCTTTGCATACACAAAACACATATTTTAAATAAAGCAGATTGACTGACAGTCAAGGCATGTCTGAGTGGTTATGATAAAAATAATGAGGTTATGATAAAAATAATGAGGTTATGATAAAAATAATGAGGTTATGATACCAAGTAAATACTATACAAAAGGGAGGATAGATAGCCTTTCTAAGTAGTAGGCTTGCTTGGTTTAATTCTGTAGCTTGCTAGTAAGTTTTACCTTACAGTGTAATGATGACATGTCAAGTGAGACATTTTTTAATAAGTAATTTGTCAAGTCATACATTTGTTTAAAACTAATTTAACTATTAACCTAGTTCTAGAAGTCAAAATATGGCTTCGATGCGATTAAAGAATACTTTTGAATCTTATAAAAATAAAATACTTTGCTAATGCAACATACTAACAAAATTGATGAAGTAATGGTTTTATTAATATTAGTGACACTATTAGTACCGAAAAAATGAAACTGATTCAAAGCATCTTTATAATACCGGCATCTGCATAAGTAGACATGAAAATCCATTACATGTGCTTTAAGAAAATGTGAACATTGTAAAAGATATTTCTATAAGCAAAAGTGTCATGTGTTCATGTGTACAGGTATATTATCTGTTATTTCTACTTAAAAATTTATTTTTTTTGTTTTAAATTAAAAATTTCATGCAATAATATTTAGAGAACTATTCACTTGGATTATTGGAATAACGCAAGCACGCATCTTCTGTATTTTGTAAAGCTGTGCCTGGTCAATACTTTTCCAGAGGTAAAACAAGCCAGAAAATTTGTAGCCTCACAAAATTAAAAAAAAAAAAAAAAATTATTAGGATAATTTGTTTTAAAAATGTGAGGCAAAAAAGAGACATAAAACCTGATAGACAAGAAGAAAGATACAACCACAATTAAAAAAAGCCAAAAAATTTGTAACCTAACAAAATTAAAAAAAAAAAAAAAAAATTATTAGGATAATTTGTTTTAAAAATGTGAGGCAAAAGAGAGTCATAAAACCTGATAGTCATGAAGAAAGCTACGTCCACAATAGACAAGTGGAAGAGAAGTGCTCAGATCTCATCTTCATTCGTTCAGACATAAAACACTTCGGTTATAATACAATTTTTATGATACACAGAAGAGATTATGTGAACAATGGAACACTGAAAATGTTTTAGATTTTTTTGGTTGATAAAACATGTAAACTTCTAGTTTATTATGAACTGTTGATCTGTGGCAGTAAATTAAGCTCATTCAAAATAGCACAAAATTAGTTTTAAAATGATACTATTATAGGAATCTGATGAAAAGTGTAGGGAGTTTCTTGGATGCTGCTGTGAGGGGGGGTTTACAAACTGATGAAAGCCAATTATTTGACGACCTTACTGACTAGTGGTTATTTAAGCTTATTCAAGGAGATTAATTAGCAAAAATTAAATTGTTAACCAAACCTGGGTATTGCACTTCCAAATAAAGCATGATAAAAATCAAATGCATGAAAATTGTAGGGAGTAAAAAATATTATAACTTCATAAGACTGAAAAATCTTAAAACCATAGGAGAATGCCATCAATAGTAATTGTACAGTTTCAACAATGACTAAATAGTAATAATGCAAGAGTATAATCCAAAGCTGAAGCTTTATCTCATGTAGTTCAAAAACTTACTTATATCTTCAAAGGCAACGCTGACTGCTTTTTTCCTAAATGTAAAAGTCAAACTGTCCATTCTTTTCTTTCCCCTTAATCTATTATGCAGTATAAATATGAATAATTTATATAGTGAAACATTGGTATATGAAAGTCAAACAAATGAAACAAACAAAAGCAGAGATGCACCACATTGCAATGCTTGTATTTGTAAACGACCTCTTACAAAATACAGAAATAACCCTTCAGTTGTAGCCACATTCATTGCCATACGAGGAGATATTGTTTTATAAACCTTAGGGACCCTGTAAAACCAGACTTCAAAGTCATTTTAAAAAAATGTTAAAAAAAGTAAAACCAATTTTTATAAATATATTTTTTACTGGATTTGTCACTTATGGCAACCAAGAACTATGTTTAGAAAAACCAAAATATGTACATCAATACAAAAGTTTGCTAAATGTTTACATGAACTGTATGACCACAACTCTATACAAATAATACATAACAATGTATTGGCCTTTATATGGTCTGTCCAATGGATTAGCACAAGGAATAAACAAGTCTGCTTAAACAAAGAAACTACACATAACTTTGTCCTAAATGGTACAAAAGGGCTTTGAAATAAATGCATAATTAAACATGAAATAAAATTTACACGCAAAAAGTCCATTTGTAATAAAAAATGTCAATAAGATTGACCATTTGCTAATATAACTATGCTTTTTAAGTGCACAGCTTTCAATTAAATTGAAAAATTATTTTTATACTAGGGTAAAATAATCACAACCTAAGGTTTCACTTTCTAAAAGAAGAGTTTTTAAAATACTATAACAACAACCTAAGCCTTGAATACACTGAACAAATAAAATCAGGAATATTAGCACAAAATTTGCACAACCATGAAAAAAAAAAATTGAAAGTAAAAATGTCAGTTGTAAGAGTTTGCACATAAGTAAAAATCCACTTCTACCAAGCACACTATTTAAAACTAACATATATATGACCCGCTGGGTAATAGTGCGCTACTGTCTACCTGCTATTAAAAAGTCTCAACATCTAAAAATACAATTTTCACTAATGTAACTGAATTGGGTTTTGATGTATTGTATCCTCATATTAAAAAAAAGTTGCAAACATTTCCCAAGCCATTGTAATGTATATTTAGTAAATAGTAAATCAGGCTTTCCCATTTTTTTAAAAAGAAGTCTCTATGTACAGACGTTTTACAACTCTAACAAAATTGAGTTTTGAGAAATGTTTATTCTCTATATAATATAGGCCCACCCAACCATTTTTCAAACCCATGAACTACAAAGAAAATAGTTATATTTAATATATTTCTAATAATAATAATACTTACAAATTAAAGATTACTTATAGTTGCATAAAAGCCGATACACTTTATCTTATTGATTCGATTTCCTTAAAATAATGGAAAACCACTTTCATTGTTTGTAAGAATTCAACAGCCACTGCATTACCTTCATCTTATATAATATAAAGAGTTCTTACAATTTTTATGTCTAATCTACAACTCAAGGATTACATTGAAATAAAAAAGGTAAAAATAAGAAAAATAAAACAAACAGGAGATTTTAAAAAATTACTTATACAGCTCTCACAAAAAAACTAAACCACATTTAAGTGGAGATAGGTAGGCATTTACATTTTGTTTGTCAAATGTACAAATTAGATAAGCACCATTTGCAGAGAAAAAAAACATGACATTATAGATAAAAGTAATAAAACTTGATCCATCAGCAAAGACTAGTTCTCTCAAATGCAGCCAATTTAGGGTTTGGGTTCAACATAATCAAAGCAATTTCAAGTATTAACTTATTCAATAGATTTTTTTTTCACTGATGTAATATAATAAAGATTTTGCATAATAATAACCTTATTAAATTTTGTTTAAATATTTGCAGTAAATTTCAATACCTTTATTTTTCTGGTGACAGAATATAAATTGAACTGTCTAAAAAAAAACACGATACAATCAGAGTTTCAAAAAGAAAGACCACCACAATAATGAAAGATAATCATCTAATGTTATTTTGTTAGAGAGACTGTGGTTTGATACACTTGTATAACACCCATTTATTCCTGTTCTTGAAGATAATTTTTATATAAATAAATTATATTATCCAATTTCTGCCTCATTCTTTAAAAATAATAATATTTAATATGAATTTCAAAACAACTAAAAAGTAACCTACGTTTGCCACAATCAATACAAATGCAACTTGCGCTTGATATCGTTACGCTTCCATTCTGCCATCTTGTAAAAGCCATCCCTAGGCATATTGAATAAATTTTCAAATTCTTGGTTTGAGAGATGAATCTGGAATTTAAAATAATATGTCTTAATTGACTGCAAAATTCCATAATTTATAGAAGCTACTTAGCATCTTGCGTTTGGTAACAAGTTTAAAAGAACAAGAAAAAACTGACCTCAAGCTGATTTGTATCCACATCTTTAGGCAGATCAAAATTTGTGATCTTTAGCTTTTCATAAGGATAAATCTGGAGAAAATAAAACACAAATAAATATATCTATGTAAACATATAAATAATTTGGCAATTTAACAAATCAACATAGATATTACAATAAATTGAAAATACAAAAATGTTATCATCATATACAATTACTAACAGCAAAAATTCTTTAGAAAAATACTTGACTATGTTATGGCAAGTGATGGCATTGATCGTGGGCCCTCAAAATATAGAAGAAGAAGCAAGTTTACATTCTTTTGGAGCTTTTAACAATAAAACTTTGCACACAATATTGGAATAATGGAATTACTCTTTTCATGTGTTCTTATATAATGGCTAACAAATAAAATGATCTTTTTTCAGACCTGTTTACCCCCAAACTCCTAAAATTGTACAAAATCGTATAATACTGTATCTTAATGGTAAATAAATAAACAAACAGCATATATAATGTATACATTAAACACTCGCATCGCATGTACAGTGGAAATGAGTTGAGCTGGTGTCAAAAAAGCGAACTGGTGGTAAAAAATAGATAACTGAAGTTTAAATTGCAATCTGCGGTCATTTTGTTTTACAGATGTGTATCTGCTATAGATATCAATTAATATTTAGGTGAATGTGCAGATCACATTGTCACAGTCTGTCATTAGTAAAAAATAGTTACTTGTGAAATTTAACATGGTTCTAACTCGAAGTCGGATCAGCTAAAATAAAATTTATTACAATAAGAATCAATATCTGTTACGCAATTTCTGGTTAGCACATTACAGTCTGATTACTACCACAAGCTGTAAATGAGTGAAAGAAAGAGCGAGTATTAAAGATCATACAGATGGTTTGTGAATTCTCTCTCAGATCCTATAAAACATGTCAAAATCTAATGCTGCTGCGTTTCCTCTTTCTGGACTTGCCATAAGAAGAAATTATGTCACAAAATTACGTCGTACAGCACCAAAGCAAAAAAATTCTAGGAGGAGCAACCTGAATAGTACTTACGCAAAAAAAGTCAAATTTTCTAACCCCCTCCCCCACTGTTGCCTGCAAACTTTTTTTACCCCCCTCCCCCTTACGTTATAATAAGCTTTCGACTCCTCCAAAACACTAAACTACAAAATCCCATTTAACTTCACAAAGACAAGGGGGGAAATAAACTGTCTTTTACTGGTCCACCCGGGTGGGGGGGAGGTCACATTTTTCTAGATGGATTGCTGCGGATTCCTCACTGGGACGTTGCCAAATATTACACAATTTTCATAATTTTATTTCCCCTTTTAATCCAATGGGACAACTTTTGGTTGTGATGCAAACAGTAACCAACTTGAGTAACTACTGTTTGCAGTTACTAGATCGCGCTTAGTGACTTGCATACATGTTACTTTTTTTTTTTACCCAACCCTTTACTTTATTTTGTAAATGTATATATTTTCAACCCGGTATCTTAAAATCGTATTTCTGGCGGTTTTTGGCATACAAATGTAAAAGACATATCTAAATCGTACAATGTACGCCAAAATCCTATGAGTATACAGGTCTTTTTTTCAAAAATTGCACTTTTTTGTTGCCTGGGGAAAAAATGGGAATAATGACAGAGTATTTGCATAATTTATTTAAATAAATGAAAATACATGAGAAATGTTTGTAAATACTCTATGACTTTGGCTAAAATAAAACTTAATATAATATGGGTCAGGTAATTTATATTTCCCAAAGCTTTCATTTCTTTTCTACTGATATCAAAATCAAAGCTATTAAACATTGAGTTTTAAAATAATTTGTTGTTTTTTGTTGTTTCTATTGCTTTCGTAATGCACCAGACTTTAAAGTCAGTCTAAACGTAGATAAAAACTTAGTAGGACAAGAGTTAAGAGTGAAAAAAATAATGTAAGAAGCAAATGAAAATATTTATCAGAATATTGTTGACTTACTGTGGGTTCTATCTCTGTATGCCATGTGTTTTTCTGCAGCTGTAGCAAAGAAATGGCTGGCCCATCGTAACCAGTGTAAGAGGTGTCATGTCTCTGTCAAGTTTGATGTAAAAAAAAACAACAAAATAATCATATTGAAGACCAATTACAATTATTTTTTTTAATAATTTAACTTTCAAGAGAGGATACTTAGCAAGTTCGATAAATCGAGTTATCATTCTCATTGCTTTTAAGAGACTTTTGTGATAATTAGTTGCTAGTGTATGTTAAAACTATTGCAATGAAGAGTGTTTAATTCAAATGGTAAAGAAATAGTTTCCTCTTGTAAAATGTCAAACTTACCCTAGAGCTGGTGTCTCCTGTTAGTGTTGATGATGAAGTATCTAGAGCAATGGTAAGAACGTAGTATCATTTAAAATTAAGTGTTTGTCACTGGGACGTTGCCAAATATTACATTGAAAATCTCAACTTTTCAGCATGAGTGACTTGAGTCTAACTATTGTTTCGTCAAATTGATGAAATTATATTTTATTGTGAAAAAGTAGCAAAGACACCATTAGTACATTTACTCTGTGTTAAAAGCTAAGCGCTTTAAAATTACATCTTAGATTTCTTCTATCTAAATGATCTGTTAACTGCTATAATTTGTGTAAGAATAACACCTAATTATTAAAACAATACCCCACCCCCCACTTAGTTCAGTTTTTGAATATATTTGTGTCTGGAGCACAGAATTCATGTCTATCATTAATTCGCTCACAGAAATAGGATATTTGCTATCACAGCCATCAAAAAAACTAAACAAGATTTTGAGAAGATTGAAAGAGAAGTCCAAATAATGCTGTGGTATGGCGTCATGCACTTAACAATGAACTATTTTAAAAAACCAGGACTACTTACGGGTTGACCTTTCCCTGCCATCTGATTCCCCGAAGTCAAAATATCTCTGAAGAATGGGTTGGAATAGTTTGTTACGTTGTACATGCAAAAAGTAATAATGAGCAATAATTATTTCAAATGTTATTAACACCCAGTTTAATTTAATAAATGTAATAAAGTATCAGCAAATAAATATTTTTTTCAATGATCTAATCAAAGCTTCATTATCCTTTATGACTTACAAAATCAACTCTAGCGCCATAAGCTCCAGCTAAAGGCAATGTGGCTGCTCTAGGGGCAATGTAAGATGGGCCATAACCAGGCTTTGGTGCTGTGGAAAAATGTGTACAATTCCTGAATGGAGCATAGCAAATCTTTATCATTTAAGATATGTTTGACAATTCTGGACTGTAATTTTAAACCATCTTATTTATCAAAAATCTTTTAAATGGATAGAAATTATAATTTTTCAAAAAAGTAACAAGATATTTATGAACATTTAATTTAAATTTGTTTTGTACTCTCGTAAATTGCATTTTACATAGTAAACGTTACATAGCAGAAGGATAAACTTGAAATTACAATGTGAAGTGCAATAAAATATAACCAACATGAAAGCTTGTAACAAAAACACAAAGATCAATAACAAATGAACACACAAAAATCTTCAAAAATTCCTAGAAATAATGCAAGTTGTAAATATTCAACATAAATTACCAGATACAGTAAATATGTAACTTGATTGAGGCAAAAATAAAGCAAATTGTCATATTACTGACACGCTTTTTTTTGAAAAGAAAACAATAATTTATTGTTTGTAAAAAATTAAAAAAAAAAACCCCCCCCCCCCCCCCCAAGTCAAATTGTAGCCAATGATAGAGTTATTCTTGACCAGACACTGTTTTATGCAAGGTTGTGTTTTTCTTCTAGGAATGTTTTGTTTTTTCAATAATCTATTTCTTTTTTCTTGCCAAACTTGAGCTACTGGGCACGTTCTTAAAATAATTGTTGGCATTTCCTATAGCATAAAATAAAAATGCAGTTATAGAATAAACTGTGACTAGTGCACCCTCAGTCCAAGTTTGGGAACAGCTGACATATTCTGTAGACAGCATACATGGAAATCACAATGACTTGTTACTTACTTGGCAAATTAGCCAATGTTGATGCAGATCTGTAAGTTCTGATATCGCTATCGTCCCATGCATAGCGAGGTCGATCAAGAAAACGAGATGGGGCTGTTTAAGAAATAGAATTTTAAGCTACTCAATCAAATCTAATTTTATAAGGATACATAAGTTGATTGTGAAAAACATTTTTATAATTATATAAAAACATGTTTACACTTTTAAAATCATTCATATTTTATTTAATACTTTTGTGACGCCCATTTAATGTTTTAAAATATCTTTCTTATACTCTTGATAAATATATTTTATTTCCGTTTTGAATCATTCCCCACAAATATATTTAGCAGATTTAATATACTTTTTTAAAGGCAATTTTCAGAATTAAGAGTTTAAAAACATTTATGAACTGATTTGTAATAAAACACTAACACTTCTAAACAAAAACATTAACTTACAAGCAAACATAGGGGACTGATACCGAGTACGGTATCTGGGTTCAAACTTGGCACTCGGGGCCCGAGAAGCCTTCCATGGGTCCAAAGGCATGTGAGGCTTGGCCTTCAGCTTGCCAAGTTCCTTGTAGATGACCTGACCGATGCCACTTTCATTTTTAATCTTAGAAATCTCCTCTAGTTCACGTTTTATTTTGGGATCTTCTTGTATCTCCTCTTCATCATCATCATCATCTTTCTCTCCCCTGCTTCTCCTGCGCTGACGTACTGCAAGATCAACAAAACTTTGAAAGTACTTTTACATTTCCTATGCAAATCACTTCTATGAAATGAAGAAGAAAGCCTGAAAACTATTGGGATCCAAAAAGCCCCTGCTTTCATGAAAGTTGTCAAAAAGATAGTACAATATTTCTTTTAATGCTTGTATAGACATGTTACTGCTGAACAGTTAAAATTCAATTATTCAAGGCAGACTTAATTTGACAAGGACTAGCATATAAAATTGAAGAAATCAGTGTACCCCATTTATATATGTGACATACAACCTAGCCTCATGTGTGAGTGCATATTTCGTTTAATCCTAATGTAACAAGCCCCCACTGTAGTTGTTTGAAAAGGTTACATTTTAAACCATAAATTTGATGAGCATAAAGTTAAGAAACATTATCTAATGATTTTTTTTTCAAAACCGAACAGAAAAACGGCAGAGGACATTAACTTACAGATTTCTGGGAGAATAGCTGCAGGAGAAGCAGGAGCTGGCCAGTCATCTCTTTCAATTTTATCCAATTCATTTAGTTGCTTGGGTTTGGCACTTGGGAACATGCTCATTCGAATTGGTTCTTGTGCACGTAGATCAGCTGGAGATGAACTGCGCCGTACCTTAACCACGCGCCGCTGACCTGATGCTTTAAATTTAGGCAATATTTAGACTCAGTCATGGAGTTTTCAATCATAAAAAAACAATTATATTTCTCCCAAAAACATTACCACCATTAACAGTTCAGTTACACATTAGCATAGATACTTACCAAGTGCTGCCATTCCAGAAGCTGGAAAAAACAAATAAATATTTAATTAGATTGTTATTTCCTAAACAAAAGTCATTTTTATGTCAGTGCTTTGTAATGGTAAAAACAATAGTCATCTATATGTCAGTAGTTTGTTATGTTATAATTTAATAGCAGTAAAATTATCATTACCTTTTTTCTTAAGAAAATCTGGTGGTTCTTTAGAATACGTGAAATTTGCTGAAGGATAAAATAATAAATTGGAACAAACATCTCACAAACGTAAAAAAAATGTTCATAAATAAATGTGACTTTAAGAAAAAAATTAGACTTTCAACTACTTAATATTTGCTTTGAAGTAAGTAGACCATTACTCTTATTCTAAACAACAAAAATGAATATAAATACTTTGCATTGATTAAGTAATAACTTAAATAGTTTTCAGTTCTTTCAGTACATACGTGGCCGGTGAAAGTGAGATCCACTGGTGGCTTTTTGCTTATCCTTGGGAGTTACCGTCGCCCCTTTTGTGTAAGTTTGCTTGCCCATGCCCAAATAACTTGTGTTATAGAAACGGCCAAAGTTTGGCTCTGATCTTCTTGAATCCAAAGAATCCTAAATTGTATGAGTAATTGCATTAAATGAGATTAAAAATATATACACAAAAAGGCATTATGGAACTATTTGGCTTTTTTTAATGCCATTGACTACATATCATCTGATTTTTTTTTTTAAGGGTTATTAATATATTTTAAATGGACACCTCAAAATTTATAATTTTAAATAAATGCTTCAATTTCTAGAAATACTGGTTCAATGTTGTCAAACGCTGATAAAAACCTTTGAGATACAAAAATGAAACCAAAGGTGTATGCAGAATTTAAGAAACATTACAAAAAGAACATAATCTTGCTCCTGATTGTTTTCATATTTTTTTAAATACTTGAGTGATTTATTTGTAATTTTCATGATAAACTTATGATTTATGAATAGTTTGGCTAAAGTAATTATAATGTAACTCTTTAAAATAATTATAACTTGACATAAATGTTCTCCTGAAAAATCCAATCTTAAATTAACCTTTAAATCTAATATAAATACGTTTTGATAACAGTATGTTAAAATAAGAAACGAAGAAAGCTATTAATTCTATTTATTAACAAAACCACTATATCTATTTGAGTACATTTTAAATAAATTCAAAATAAAAACTACAAACATTTGTTGATTAAAAAATTGTTTGGCATAGTGAAAATACTCGTAACTATGGAATCATCGGAGGCAAAGTAAGAAGTTGGAGCAACAGTAGCACTGCAATTTGAACTATAAACTAAACCTAGAATTTGCAAAATTATGAAAATGTGTTGTTTTTTTTAAAGCTTGTTCTCACTAAAACCAGACTGAGAATCTTTGATGCAAAGTCAATAACTGCAAAGTCCACCTCTACTCTGTGAAAAACGTGACATGGAAGTAGAGAGTCAGCTACAATAAATAGCCTATATTTTTTGTTAAACTTCCAATATCAGGTATTTTAACCCCAAAATAAACATATAAGTTAATTTAAATACTATATATACTTGTGGACTCATTTCCATTTTGTTTGTAGCTAACCAACTACAACATTGTCAAAGTCCATAAATATGTAAGAAAAAAATGCTATTACTTTAATGGCTTTCTAATCATCTAGAAAACATTCAGCATATAAAATCTAGATTTCTAAATGACACAAATTTTAATCAAATTTTAGAGTAATACTTAAACAAACACATTTCTTAAATAAACAAACACATTTTAATGAGATATTTATGAATGGTTGTGTTGTTTCATAAGATTGAAATATTTTGTCAGGCAAGTGAATATTCATTAAGCCTTTCAATTAGGATCCTTCTGCTGGGCTAAAACAAACCAGGTAATACAAGGTTAATGTGTTGAGGTTATGTAACTTAATTAGAGGTTTCACTTGCTTCCCACACACCAATGAGAAAGTAAGTGCAAGAGGACTTATGTAATCTCTTCCAGCTCCAGTAAGGGCAATACAACTCTACAAAATGGAAATGTGACTTGGCAAATCTGTACCAGTTTGGATCTTCATGGATGGGACAGGTGAATGTGTGTCAATGGTAAACATAGATATAATTAAGCATGTAAAACATCACATCAAAGCTGTACCCAAGAAATGGCAAAAATTGTGGATGCATAAGTAGTGAATAAGAAGGAAAGAAAAATGAATAAATTAAGTTTTGAAATGAGTGTGCTTTTTCCTTTAGAAATAACTCATTTATCTCATTTATTTTATTTTATTTTTTCACAAATATGAAGGTAGAATTCATTTTCTCATGACTCATCCAATTTAAATATCAAGTAATTTACAAATAAGCTTACCAGAATTTTTTTTAAAAAAAACAGTCTACCATTACTTGTCATTTAATTGAGAATGTAAAACAACAAAAACCAAAGATAACAGCAAATCTGTTGGTGTAAAACTGAAGAAACATTCCACAACATGAAAAATGTTTAAATTTAGGAATGAAGGTCAAAACTAACTAGTACAATATGAAAAAAGACCAACAGGTACCAGTTGGGATAACAGGAGTGAAATGACCAACCTGTTTGCTACTGCTGGTGGACCAAGGGAAACACATTCCAGTGAGAGAGTGCATTAAGCACTGCATGGATAGAGAGACAGGAGATCACTTAGGTCCAATGTACAGGAATGTGGCTAACTCCACTTTATTTTAGTAGAGCAGCAGTGAATAGACAAACCCTTGTTTATCATTTGGACATTTCAACAGTTTGTTTGTATAACCATTGTAAGAAAAATATACTCTTTAAGTTTTGTAACATTAAAAGCGATAAAGTAATAATCTTTAATTACTACTTCTGTTAAATTTTGTATTCCTAGCTTAGCGTTTGAAGGATTTTTTACCCCTCATAATAGAGATGTCTAAATCAGATATAAAACAACCAACATCTTATTAGCAAATCAGTGCATCTAACAGTTTTTGGACTCGTGGACTATTTGCAAATTATGAACTTCCTTGCAGAGCCCCACGTAATTGCCAGACAAAATTTCACACATGCTACTAAGACAACATAAGTGTTGATCCAAAAAAATGGAAAATTGCTTATTACATAACACATATTGTTTTCAGTCTTGAAAGTCTTTGAGATTTTGTTGTTCCCTGTTGTTAATGTAGAGATGAATTTTAAACATTAAACATTTTAAACAATTTTGTTGATGTAAAGATTAAATTTTTAATCATTTTATGATAAGATCAAGCTTAAATTCTTAATTTTTTAAAACTCTTTCAATTAAAATTTCATAGAAACTATGACAATACTTTGGGTTACTTAAGCCTACCAAAATCAATAATATCTCATTTTGACTTCAAGTTGATTCAACCCTATTTGTTGAAAACGATTTCTCTCATCACAAGCCTAATTAGGATTTTTAAAATGTTGACAATGTATTTAAATTTGATCATGAAATAATTTTAATTAACTTAATATGATCTCTTAGCTTGAAAGTTTGCTTGGAATGTACACATGTGCGGTTCATTTGCAAACAAGTTGTAAAATTTTGTACTTGGATTACCTGGTAACTTTTATGCATTAAAATTATTTCTGTTCTATTTTGAAATTGACTGGTAATCTAACAGGCATTGTGTTCTGGACCACCTGGGAGGCTAAGAGCCATTGATGTCTATCAAACAATTTTTGTTAACAATTCTTTTTTTTCTTTCAAATAAGCTCAAATTTCCAATAACATATTTTTGTTTGGCAGCTGACAAAAAAGTTTCCTAAGCACCATCTGGATATAATACATAATGAAATAGTAAAAGTGGAGGAAATTGACAAACAAAATTTTAAAGAAATTTTAAAGTTAAATGCTGTTGAGGAGCTTAATTTTTTTAAAAATTAAGTCATTAATAAAATATGAAATCTTAATCCTTCCCGTTCTTAAATCATCACACTTTTAAATAGTTCATGTGTAATCACTTGTGATATTAAATCTCATCAAAGAAAAAGAAAAAAAATCAATAACCAACATTTGCCAGCATTATCTTGGAGCTTCAAAATTTAAAAAAAAAAAAATTGATATTTAATAATCGAAGATTAATCTTTTCCAATTTTTAAAAATTTAAATAAAAATGCTTTATTCTGAATAAAAATCATCTTAGTCCTAGTTTAAAGTATATATTCAATATTTGTGCTTTGTGTTTGTTTAGTTAACAAAAGATTTATAACATTTTGGTAGGCTATCTTTTTTTTTTTGTTGTTGTCACTTTAAGAACTCTTTAATATCTCCAAAAACATGTAGGTCTTTCAGATAAAACAAAGATTTAGGGGAGCGCCAGTCAATGAACCTAAGTTTTGAGATCATGTTCCATAATAATAATTCAAGCACAAACATTAAAAAAAGGAATAGTTTTTAGTGGTTTGTTACCAACTACAGTGGGTCCCCACATAACGAAAGTTCTTCAAAACTAACAATCCGCCTAACGAACGTGGTCGTTCGCCCCAAAAATAACTCGCATAGGGAACAGTGCCGTGTGAAACAAACCAAACCAGTGTTAACCCGCTTGAAAAAAATTGAAAAATATTACAATTAACGAGCATACCAATGGCCTCTTCCTCTCTGCTCACTCAGAGCAATTCTGAAGAGGAATACAAGTCAGTGACATTCTTTTGTGTTTTTTGTGTTGTGTTTGTGTGTTTTGAGTGTGTGGTTGTGTGTTTGCATGCTTGGTGGTATGTTTATGTTGTACTGTGTTAATTTCTCATCCCAATTTCACAACTCAAGAAGACAAGAAAAAAATAAATGTGTACAAAGTGTAAATAAAGATATGAAAAAGTGTCATCATCCTCCTCCCACACCTCCTAACACCCTCCTTGTC